CATTTTCTGGTAATCATTTTAAAATCGGAGATTCCACTGGTTTAGACCCGTGATTAAACTACCACAAATGCAGGTACTGTCCCTGTAAGAGGTTGTGCTATAATTTCAAATTAGTTTTGAATATGCATATTCTGTAGTTTACTTAGTTAGATGCTATCTCTTTTAAAAGTAGAATTCGAGGCGTGCCATTTAGTGAAATTTCTATGGCCCTCGCGAAGTTGCAAATGCGTAGTTGTTTTAGGCGCGTTGTTTAAATAAATTACCTTCCTAAATTCGGGTGCGCATTTATGTGACCCAAATCCAAATCTCAACAATGTTGAAATATGTCAAAAACCGCGGGTGCATTTATGTGACGTGGTTTGAGACGCATTTTAATAACGTTGCAAATTTTTCCTTAAAATTGAATAAAGTGGTTAAAACTAAAGTTTGCACATAGGTTCAAAATTGTTTAAAATCAGATAATTAAGCCAGATATAACAGTTGAGCGACCGTGCTAGAACCACGGAATTCAGGAATGCCTAACACCTTCTCCCAGGTTAACAGAATTCCTTACTCGGATTTCTGGTTCGCGGACTGTTAAACAGAGTCAATCTTTTCCTCGATTCGGGATTGGAACCGGTGACTTGGGACACCATAAATCTCTCAAGTGGCGACTATGAATCTTTAAATAAATAAATCCCGTTTCGATTGTCCTTTAATTGGAAAAACTCTTTTATACCCTCTTCCAGAGGTGTAGTAAAAAGGGAGGTGTGATAGAAAGAGTCATGTATTTATAGTGTGAAAAACAAGCAGAAATAAGGTAAGAAAAATAATTATGGAACTGGGTAACAATTAAAACAATCAGTATAAGATTTCCTTTAATTAAGGAATTCAGACTTAAACGGTAATGAGCAAAAGTTATTTAAGGAAAGAAATCAAATAAGCATCTTGTGCAAAGTAGGCAATTAGGGGTAAATACTTAGGAGTTTAATTAAGGGCAGAGTTTTGAAATACGCGGTTAAAAAAAATAAGGTAAGAATCAATTAGTACACAGTAGATCAAGGAATCAGATATTTGTAACTACTGGTCCATGAAGAACCCAAGTCAGAAAGGCTAAGGAAAGCTTTCGACTCAAACCAAGTAACATGGCAATCAGCAAACAAGAAAAGAAATCAATCAGACTTGCACAAAAGGAAGTCTGAAATCATTCAAAAAATTAAAAGCCATTTAGAGGGGAAGTTCAGCACATATAAAGAGTACGCAAGTATTAGGCATGCGAGGCTGAATTTAGGACGAAGAAAAAGTGTCATGCAATTGCACAATCAGTAAGTAGTAGACTATAGGAACATGGTAATCACAGGGTAACTCAGCAATGGAGAAGAGAAAGTATCAAATAGCATACAAAAGGTCCACTAGAAAGACCTTAGAAAAGTTTAGCAGGGAATCAGAATCATATAAAGAAACCAATGTTTAAACAAAGATTTCAAGACTCAGTTGAGCAACAGATGAAACAATCTTCAGAAACTCGAAATAGGTCCAAAGAAAGTTAGGGTTTTTGAAATCAAACAAGTTTAGAGATGAAGAACAAGCAAATCACATAGCCAATGGTCTCAAAACTCGGATGAACCCCCAAATTCTAAGGGTTTTACCATTAATCGAGTGTAGAGACGAAAACAAGTAAATCAGGCAGAAATACTAACGAAATAAGTTCAGAAATCTCTGAAAGGAACTGAGACCTTTAACATGCATCTTCCAGTAAAAGAAACTCATGATAAACATAGTAAAAGAACAACATGCGAAACATAGTAGAAGAACTCATAAGAACATGGTAGAAGAAACACATAGGAAACATAGTAGAAGAACTCATAAGAACACAGTAGGAGACAAACACAGTAGAAGAAACTAATAGTAGAAGAAACACACAAGAAACTTAATGAAAATAAGAGAAGCATCTCGACAAAACCCTAAATCGGAAAGATAAAGGTTTGAAAGCATAGTTTTTGAAAGATATCTCGAGAAACCGTCTAAAAGCTCAGGGAAAACACAGAACTAGAACAGATCTAAAGAAATCAGAAGAACCTCAAAAGCTAGGGTTTTAGAGGAACCCAAATGGTGAGAAAGGATTGGAAAGTCGTTGATCTGAGTAGGAGAAGTCGAGATCAGGTTCGAATAGTCATGGCTTGCCGGAGCAAGGCCGGACACGGCCATAGAACTCGAATCAAACGAAGCTTGGACCAAGCTTCTTCGTGGTCAGGCCTTGAATCTTCAATAACCCGGCGTGTAGGAGTTATAGGAGGTCGGTATAAGACTTCAGCTGCGTTGGAAGCCATAGATTCCGGTGGTTTTACGATGGAAATAGAGGGAGGCGGCTAGGGTTTTTGTGAGAGAATTTGGGAGATGGGGAATCTAGGGGTGGCTACCGGTGAGAATGAATAGGGTTTGGGGATATTGGGGAATTAAAAAGGAAAGAAATAGTGTAAGCCGTTGATCTGTTAGATCAACGATTGGATCAAAAGGGGGGCCGGGTGGGTTATTTTAAAGGGTCGTGGGTCGGGTAATTTTAAGAATTGGGCCGGGTAATGAGATCTAAAATTGGGTTTAATTGGGGTGCCAAATCCGGCCAGAAGTGAAATGAAATGGGCTAACATTTAAATAGCCATTTTTTCCCTTGTTTAATTTAGAAAAAATAGTAAAATAATTTCTGGGAGTAAATTAAAGGTACTAAAATGATTAATAATATATAATTATAAAAATAAAAATACTGGAGTCAATTTTATAAATATAAATACAATTAAATCTTAAAAGAGGCCAATATTGCAATTATATGTAATTTAGCTTTAAAATGCCGAATAAATTTGTAAAAACATTCAAAAATTATGTTAGCTATATTTCAGTATAAATATGTGAATCCCATAAATGAATTACTAAAATGATAATTTTGAAAATAATTATTGGGTTTTTCTTGATAAGATAGGGCAATAAATTAATTTAAAAATCCTTAAAAATTAAGAGAAAAATATTAAAACCTTGGGACATACTTATATATGCATATATATGCTATTTTGAAAGTATTTTACATATTAAAAATATACATGGAAAAATTGGGTATCAACACCGCCCATACGAGTGAGGACAACAAGTATCAATGTATCTCTGGAGAGATCTATGGAAGTTTGTGGGAAAATTGTTTGTTTTTATTTATGTGTGCCTGAAAATTGAATAAAATAAAATTTACTGTATTTAATTGTTGGGGAATTAATAAATGGAAGGAGAACATGTATTGAGATTTGTTTTGAAGCTCTTGAATTTAAAATTTTTATTTTAAAGATTTCTTGTTTGATTCAAAGTGGGTGCTGTTAAATAGTGATTATAGTACCTTCTAAAAGTTCATACTGAAATTTGACAGCATTTGGAGCTGATTTGAGGTGATTGAGATCGAAATTTTCAGCTGAAAATCGAAGAAGAACACAGCTACAGTATACCTCTACAGTATACAATATGCTATAGGAGTATATAGCTATACTGCTACAGTATACTATTATAGTTTACAATATACTGCAACAGTATATTGTAATACTCAAAGAAGAACACAGTTACCTAACAGTATGCCGTTATAGTATATAATATGCTATAGGAGTATATAGTTATACTGCAACAGTATACTATTATAGTATACAATATACTGTAATAATATGCAATATACTGTAACAGTATGCTGTAATACTATACAATATACTATATTAGTATACTTATTACATGCAAATTCACTTGCATTTTCCCTTTTAATTCACTTGCATTAGTATATATATATATATNTTATTTTTTGATTGTATTAGCTACACTTAATTGGTATACAATTTAATTTTTCTTTAGTAATAGTATAACAAAAGAATAATAAAAAATAGTAAAAACAGTAAATGAAATTAGATTATGAAGAGAAAAAGAATATAAAAAAGAAGTTAGATGAAATTAGAAAAGGAAAAAAAGAAAAAAAGAAAACGAGAAAACGAGAAAACGAGAAAAAAGAAAAGGAGAAAAGAAAAAAAAGAAAAAAAGAAAGAAAAGAAGCATAGAAATAAAAAGAATTGGAGAATAAAGAAAAAATTTCCACAAAAACTACTATGAGTAGGAAATGCAATTAGTTTATGGGTAGAAAAATAAATTGATAGACAAGGGTAAATAGTTTTGTTTTTGTGGGTAATTGTGTCAGAACCCCATCTTATTCTTTTTTGGCCCGTTAAGAAAAAATGACTGCTTTCTAAATTTGGAAACAATAAAATTTAAATTTTCAATTCTACCATTGACTCAATGAGAAACTTTTATAGCAATACAAATACTCTGTCATATTTAACACCACAAGTTTCAAAAGAATTATAGCCACATAAATATTATTGCTTGTTTAGAACCGTAGATTTTAAAAGTCTTTATTTTTTTTCTTAAACTTCATGCCCACTCAATTAGGTTCACATAAATTGGAATGGAGGGAGTATATGTTATGGTATATTTTAGACCGCAAACTCTAAGAGTACTTTCTGTATATGTTTTCTTTAACTTCTCGCTCCCTTTTGGTAGTTTTGACTTACTCATAGGCTACGATAGACCTCCTTCAGAGACATTTTGGTCTACACACATGGCTAAGCGCTACTGTATGCTTTTTTTCTTTCTTTTTCTTAAATTTTAGACATAAGCAAACAAGCATGCAGAACAAGTACGCAGAACTAAGTTAAAGGGAAGTTAAAGAGTACAACAAATTACTGGTAAAACGATAAAAAGTTAAAAACATAGAGAGCGGAGACATCTCAAATTTGAAAATCACCAAAATGCCTAAGTAACTCCTTAGCTATATTTAAACTCGTGAAACTGTTTGGACAAATGCCTAGGTAAATCACAAGTTGGGTAAAACGAAAGGAAAACAGTTATTGCAAGTGCAAAATGGAATCATATAACCCCTATTCTCTTCTCGTATATATANTTTTCCCTTTTCTATACATGCAATATATCGAATGTGAAGACTGCAAAAATGAAGTAAAGTAAACCTCATTTGGATTTTCAAGGCCTGAAAATATTACCAAAGTTGGACAAGCTGAAAAGGCTCCTATCATAAGCGTTCGCGTGATGATGACTTGGATCTTGTGCTGCTAATATTTCTGGTTCTGGTTCTGGTTCTAGTCCTCCAGTTGATGAATGACTTGTATTTATAAGAATATCATTAGTAAATACCATATGATGATCATCATGAGAATTAGACCACGCCATCCCTTCTGATGACGCTCCCAATTCTTCACAAGGCAATGGAGGCAGCTGCATATAATTGCCTAATTCGTTGTTACTACTATTAGCATTCATGTTCATGTTCGTATAGTGAACATCATCATTATGATTCATAACATTCTGCATTGTTTGCTGCTTCTCATCAATCCCACTAAAGTAGACACCATCTCCATCGCTTAATCGCGTTTCTTGACCTAAATCACTAGCAAACTCCATGTTTATCATGTCTGAAAACACGAATGATGGACCGACGACGACTGCTTGATGATGATCATTAGGCAATAATTCAGGAAGTTCAAGGTTCTGGTGATGGACCTCGGGTTGTGGTTTTGAGGAATCATTCAAGAAATTTGCATAGACTAAAGCAAGATCAATACTTGGACCATGATGATCACCACCTTGTGCTAAGGAAGTGGTGGATTGATCAATATTATTAGAGGGATTATTTAAACTATTAATCCCACGACCCAAATTTCTTGAAATAAGGCCATGATGATGATCTGTTGATGATGAACGAATTGAAGAAGACGACGACTTACCTCGTCTGCTCTTCCTGCAGCCACCACCAACGGGAACATTCCTCAAAGAACCACCTTTGGTCCAATACCTTCTACAACCTTTGCAAAAGTACCTAGGCTGCGTCAAACTATAGTTGTTGTAGTAACAAAACTTGGTATTGATGGAACCACAGCGAGGACATGTTGGTGCCATCTCAACGTTGGTTTTCCATATCCCTCTTTCCATTTAATTATTTATTTCACAAGATTATTATTCTTGCATAGGAGGAGGAATTCTTCAAGATCTTCCTCTCTCCTTTTGAATAGCATCTCCTTTTTAGCCAGCAAATGAAGTGAAAAATCTTGACCATAATTAAGAGACTATGTATTTTCTTGAAATATGTATTATTGGTATTTATTATTATTTTTATTATTAATATTATAGGAAATTGCATTGGAATTGTGAGTGAAGGGTTCCGGGGCCGTTAAGGACGACGGAGGAAGACTTATATACAATCCCGGCGGCGAAGAAGGGGTGTCGGTGTTTGTGACACGTGGAGTTACGAGACTGGTTGGGTAGGGAGCAAAGTTCTCGAGAACCTCAAGTACATACATGACTTTCAGGGACAGACAGGTTGGGGTTAAAAATTTTAAATAGTTTTAAGTGTTTATGAATAGTTATAATGTAGTAATGTACAGCAAATAAACAGAGCTTTGAGTTTGTAAAGCTCACTTTGAGTTGGTAATGCTGGGAAGTTAACTTGTTCACTAGTTAATCGGCATATATGTAAATTAAAGAGTTTAAGTTAGATGCGCCGACAATATAAGAAAATCTTTAGATAATTTTTTTATTATCAAATTATCGGTTTTATATATCAAAATTATAAATATTTACAGCTCCAAATAGAAAACAGTAGTAGCCTGAGCATGCAAGCTCCAGAACTACCTGCCTCAAGTTCATCTAATTCCTTCATCTACGTACATCAATTGGATTTCTATTAAGCACAGTCTAGTAATTCAACCTCCTTATGTAAGCTCCCACTTTTATTGACAAACTTGCTCTAAAGTAGACCTCCTGCACTATGACCTCATTTGTTTTTGGAATATTCTATTATTCCTTTCTTGCACACACATAATACACTGTTGTTGCCAATGTAATACGATAAACGTTAGCTCCTGCACTTCTTCCTTTGCACGTATTGATAGCCCACTGGACTTCATCATTTCATTCCATACCATGTTGGTTCTGTTAAGATAATTAAGATAACTAATACAGTAAATAATTACGTAGTATATCTAATAAATACTCTGCTATGATATGTTAAAACTGCACTCGAAGACTCTTTAACTTGAATGCTAAATTCAAAAGTAAACCTTAATAGAATGGTTCTGTGGATATGTCCATTCAAGAAGTTTCCTCTATTATATTTCCATTTTCATGTACTGGTAAATAAATTTTCAGCGAAAGTTTAATTGGTACGTAGAATATATGAAAGTTGGTCAAGTAAATATATGCATGGGTTTCTCAATTAGTACAACAGCTTGGTCTCAAAAGTTTGCAGCTGGACTTTCTTCTTCTTCTTCTTCTTTTTAAAAGAAAATGTTTTTGTGAAAATATTAATGTTTCTTGGAAAAGAGACCCTCGTGGAATCCTACTTGATTTTCCTTTTCAGATATCTTGGGAATTGCTTACTTCATGTTGAACAAAATGTTCATCATTTTGATGTTCTCATACTGTTGCTGCCATCAATGTCCAACTCAAGTACATGCTGGTTAGTTAGTGAAAATCTAGTTGAGCAATCCCCCCCCCCCCCCCC